GACATCAGGAGATGCAGAATCTGATACAGCTCATAAGGTCAAATCCTCCTCAGATGTCCAAAATTTAGTTATCTAGGTCTAAGCTACTAACTTTCTGCATAGTTAACAACAGAAAATAGTCATTTTCAGAGCACAAGGGAAATAACGCTTCCTCCGTATTCAGCTCAGAGGAATCGGCATTTCTGGAGAGCGATTGATCTCCCTGTTTGGAAAAAGGAGGATAAATACCTATATTTGGTGAAATGACTTCCCAAGGGCTGGTGGAGTGGGAAGGCAGTGGTGAAATGGATGGTCTAGAGAGTTTCCCCTAGCACCGTATTCATCTCTTTCCCATCTGCCTGGACCCAAGACGGACACCTCAAGAAGAGGGAACCGCACTGGATTCACCAAATATGTTTGGGTTTTTTAACTTCAGCTGTTTGAACTGCAAAAATCTGCGCTCAGTGACTGGGTTTGTTCCAGGACATGTTTTTGATGAGGTGTCAGTGCTGGATGAGGTGTGCCAAAGGTTCGTTCAAACTTTTGAAGGCCTGAGGGGAAGCGAGACCTCGCTTTGGACCTGCTTCCCTTAGGAACAGAAGCATCTTCAGCCAGGATAAAGAGGTGTACTCATCTCTGAGGAGAGATCACCAGCTGTACTCCCTCCTGGAGCTAGGTGCTCATCCATAAGTGTTCCTCAAAAACGAGATGTTCTTCTTTTTTCTTGTGCCCACTAGCTTACAACACTAGAAAGAGGGAGCTCGGCCAGACAGCTGTGATTTTCTTTGCCAGAGCTGGAAATATTGTAACAGGGAAGGATCTTAATATACTCGTCCCATTTCTGATACTCTTTCTCTGAACATCTATTTTTGGCTGCCGTCAGAAATCGATACCCCTGGGCTGCCTCGTCTCACACCGCAGAGCTATTCTCATGTTCTGACCGGTGGAACAGGAGGGTGGGAGTACAGGCAGCACCATCACCCAGCGGCCGGCTGGAACAGGCAGAAAAATGTTGGCAAGCTCTGGTTGGTGATCTTTTTTTATTCTGCTGCTTCAGGAGAATCTCCAGTCTTTCCCTGCAGTTGCTCACTCACATCTCTACAAATTGAGTCTTCTCTGACATGCTCTTGACACCAGGATGCTGGGAGGGGAAGCTGAATTTCTGGAATGAGTTCCCCTCTAATTGTATACAGCTGTCCCTGTAAATGAATAAAATATGGGGGAGTCCAAATAAAGTGAAGAAAAATACCCTGTATCAATGAAATCCCCGTACTAATCATCACCTGTGCATTTGCACTTCACATCTGCTACTGAAGATCAGACTTCGCCTGTTTGCATAGCTGGCTTATCTCATATAACCAGCGAGGGATGAAAATGAACCACTTTCATCTATCTATTCCTAAAGATAAAGGACTTCTGGAATTCCTGATGTGCCTTCCAAAAAATTTCACGTGTCTATTGCTAGTGAACTTCAACTGAAACCTCGACAAAGCCGTTGACTTTTACTGCTTAATATAATCATATAGACCAGTTGCAGACGGCTTAATATGCTTCCTGAGCCACTCCGACAATCACCGACATAATTCACTTCTCATAGGAATACCCTGTATTCTTACGAAGTGTATGCTAGCCAAAATGGAGAACCGGTGCACAAGAACATGGTTAAGTTGTGAACATTCGTCTGTTTTCTCACTTCTCCATATTTGCTGTGGAGAAGGCGTTTCTTAAAAAAAAAAAAAAAAAGGGTTTTTTTCCTTAAGCAAAATTCAAATATATTATTAATCTGTGGTTTTTCACTGTTTGCAATGCAAACAAGGCAGATTTTCCTATCTGTCTTTTGTACGGTGCTGTCAGATATGAAAATGTGCAACACAAAAGAGGTTGTGAATGATTTATTTTTCTCCTTTAAAAATACTATCCAGTTGTGAAATTCGGGTTAGGCTACAGTTCTGGCTTTAAAATTCCCAAGACTTTGGGGATCAAAAAAAGGTTAGCATTCAGTGTTTCAGTGTCATTCTCTCCTCCCTTTCCTCTGTATTTTTTTAAAATTCTGTATACAAAAGCTAGAATTGTAGAATCACAGAATGGTTTGGGTTGGAAGGGACCTGTGAAGATCATCTAGTCCACCCCCCTGCCACGGGCAGGGACATCTTTCATGAGATCAGGTTGCCCAAAGTTATGTGCAGAGATGGTGGATACTTTCCTTACACCCATGGAGCATCATAAATTTGGAATCGAGGACTTTCAAAACTTCAAACCCGACTCCTGCTGCAGAAAGCAGCTGAGTAAATCTAATGATGTTCCGCTAAGATACCTTGTTTCCTCGGAGGGGGCTGTTTTCCATTGAAAGTCTTCTTTACAATATGCGAGGGGAGCTGTTTAGGCACAATGCGACCCATAGAGCCAACATAAACACGGAGAATAAGGAGACTAACACATAACTGTCGTTCCCCTTGGACTGCACACGCATACATATGCGCACACACAGGGAGTGGTGTTTATTATTTTGGTGGCTCTTCATACAATCCCCATAGAACAGCCCAGGTTGGAAGGGACCTCGAAAGACCAACTGGTCCAACCTTCTGGTCCAACACCCTGTCCGATTGTATCCTGAAAACCACCAGCGATGGGGGCTCTATCACGTCCCTGGGGACGTTGTTTCAGTGAACGATAGTTCTTACTGTAAAAAATTTCTATCTTATGTCGAGATGAAAGCTCTCCCAGTACAACCTGTACTTGTTGCCCCTTGTCTTCTCCATATGGCTCCTTGTGAAGAGAGAACCTCCATCCTCTTTGTAGCCGCCCTTTAAGTACTTTGCATCTTCATCTATTAGAAACTGTATTTCCTCTGCTTGGGAAGCTGTGGATTCTTGAAAACTTACTATCACGTAAAGCGGGTATTTCAGCTGATTCAGAAAGTGAGGTTTGTGTTTAGTTCTTTCAACTTGGAAAGGAAAAGGAGGGGTGAAATGGCACAGGACAGCCCTTATCAGTGGAGTCTTAATGAGTTCCTCAACTTCTCCAAAAGAATCACTCCTCTTACAGAGATTCACCCTCTCACTAGTATTATTCTGCTAATTCATAGCCACAACTCAGCCTTCCTGCTACTAATTCCCAACTCCACCTAGAAGCTGCCAGGGCCTTGAGGGCACTAATAGGACTTAATGGCCCTGACCAGCCTCACCTGGACCACTCCACACACATGCCCCTGGCCCAGAAGCCCCATTTAAGCTCAGTCTAGGGCTATCTATCCTTCTACAGTAGGCATGTCTGGCTGCAGCTGTGTTTTTGCCTCCTGGATGGACCTCAGATGAAGACTGCAGCTTTGTCTCCAACCCCGTTGCTCCTGATGGCACACTGTGGATGGGCCCTGCACCGAGGTCATTGCCTGCTGTGGCTGTTGATGGACCCCGTTGCCAGTCCCTGGCTCTGCCTGCTGTGTTCAGCCCCTGCAGGTCTGTCCCCCAGGACTGAGGTGCTGCCTGCCCTGGGGTGCTCCGTAGCTCCTCGCTCCCCGTCCCTTGGGGACCAGCTGGTCCTTGCAGCTCCCTGACAGGAGCCATGCAGATACGTTGCAGGAACACGCCTCTACTTCTAAAATTCCCTGGACTCTGAAAGAAGACGCTTCTCAGCCTGTCTAGCCCAGGTATGAAATAGCCCTGACTATCTTCAATATTAAACCCCTTTCCTTTTTCTTCACGAAACTTCTTGTTTTTAGGGCCAGACTCCGATGTTCTGCCTCATCTCCCCTTGAAGCTATTTTCTTTCTGTTCCTAACCTATCGCATATGGCAGAAGCGACTAGGAGCTCTCATTCTGCTAGGTGTGCGCATTTTCTGCTGTCTCTGCGTGGCCATGTGGATAGAAAATTTTCATTCGGTTTGATGTCCCAGCTGACTATGGTGAAATAATTGCATTGCTTATACCTGCCATGTAGTCGCATCTCTTCCCCAAAAGAATTTCTAGGCTTTAAAACCCCGTTGTTGGCAGAAGTAGTCACAAATACATAGCTCGTCATTGCGAATATGATTTAATAAGAGGATGGGACCAGCTGTGGTGGTCAAGCACAGGGCTTGGCCAGACAAACAGACTGACCAGCAGTCTGCTTAGAGGCCACCAGCCCCTTTTAACACCTCCCGTCTCTCATTGTCCCCTCCTTGGTCTTGCTCATCAGCCATGATACCTCCGTTTTTCCATCATTGTTTCCTCCCAAAAAAATGACCCACCCTGATCGCTTCCCCACGTTTACTCCAGTTTTGCTACGTTCACACCTGATTTTGCTATTCCTGATACCCAGGTAAACTAGACCCGTGGTGTTTCTGGTATGGTTCCTAGGCGCTGCTGGCCTTGTGGGGGTCTGCTCCCCAAAGGGTGCCCAGCGCTTCCCCTTCAACCCTCTGTGAGGTCTGCCCATCTCTAGCACCTCTGGTGCCCTCCTAACCACTGATGAAATCTGGCTATCCATCATGGTGCTGCTAATTCGACAGTTCCTCACTGTTACTTGTTATGTCCAGGGGTTTTTCATGGTCTGGTCAGTGAGCCTGACGTCAGGCTAGGGACTAGTCATCCTCCCAAACAGCTGTTCTAAGATGGACATTGTGTTGCAGGTGTGTCTGAACCACTCAGTTTCTGCACGGCTAAGATGCATGCTCTTAATTTTGTGTATCTAACAGGGAAATGGGTGATTTATATTTACTTGTCTCTGAGCACTTCATTATTAAAGGGGTGAAATATGCATCTCCTGAGGCAATTTTTCCTAAGTGTGGCACATGGGAAGAGCTTCCCCACAAGCATTTTGAGACAAAAGCTCTCTTTTTCTCTGCTGCTCCTACAGGCTTCAGCTGGTGGTCAGTGGTGTGGTCTGGCATTGGTTCTGCTAATGAATAAATATTTGTGAGTGGTGATCCATCGCCGTAGATGACACTTTCTATTTAAATCCACAGCTGGGACTTGCAAATTTTATTGTTTTCTCTTTTAAAAATAGATAGGTTTTCTGTATCAGCATAGGGTCATATGAAGATGTCACACAGAATTGATTGCATCAAGCTGTGTCTGATGGCTGAACCCTATCTGGGGAATGCACATATGTAGCATTCATTTATTTGATCTTAAAACAGCACTGCTCATTAGTAATGTTAAACCTGGCTTCTGCAAACTTGGACTACACTGCCAATTGGACATGTTCCTGGTTTCAAACACATTAGTCCAGGTTTATTCTTAGCAAACATCCACGAGGACCTGGATCTCCTCTTTGCCCCATCATTCCCTCTTGAAGATCTCCCAGAAGAACTAAATAATGCGAGGGATGCTTCTCAATCTGAAAAATGCAGCTCCTTAGGGAGTGACACAAAACGCCAAGTCTTTAAAGCAGAGGGTGGCATGTGGGAAAGCAGTGCACGTGAGGCTTTGACTATAATTAGTGGATTTAAGGGTAAAATCGGACAGTACAGCTACACCCTGACAGAGGAGAAAGCAAGCAGTGGCTCGCTGTATCTTGTAGCAACGACCCAAGCACTTGGTTGCTCATGATTGCTATCTTCTTTTTGTATTTAGTTTTAAATGGTCAGCAGCCAAATGGAGACTGAAATTCGAGAATGTCCAAGTTTATTTTGCTTAGTTTATGCCACCTCTTTACCAGCTTGATTTCTAAAGGAAACAAGAACTTTTTCTAGGAGTCTCTTGAGAGCATCCTTCACCTCCACATTCCTCAGGCTGTAGATCAGGGGGTTCAGCATGGGAATCACCAGGGTGTAGGCAATGGACACCACTTTGTCCTGGTCCAGGGAGTAGCTAGAACTGGGACGGAGGTACATGAAGATCAGAGTCCCGTAAAAAACTGAGACTGATGTCAAATGTGAGGCACAGGTGGAGAAAGATTTGTGCCTGCCCTCTGAGGAGTGGATCCTCAGGATAGTGGTAAGGATAGAACCATAAGAGACAACAATGAATACTAAAGTGCTGAGTGCAATAAAAGTACCAATGGTAAAAAGCACGTGTTCGTTGACAGTCGTACTGGAGCAGGACAGTCTCAGGAGCGGAGGAATGTCACAGAAGAAGTGATTGATGACATTAGGGCCACAGAAGTGTAAATTGAACACTGAGCTGACAAGAACTATTTCATTCACAGTCGCTACTATGTAGGATCCCACAGCCAGCTGGACACAAACCTTTTGAGACATGGTGGCCACGTAGAGCAGAGGGTTACAGATGGCCATGTACCGGTCATAGGCCATCACAGCAAGCAGGTAACACTCGGTGATGATGCAGACTCCACAAAAGTACATCTGGGCTGCACACCCTGGCAGAGAGATGGTTTTCCTTTCTTCAAAGAAGCTCACTAGTATTTTGGGAGCAACCGCTGAGGAATTACCTATGTCCACCAGAGAGAGGTGGCAGAGGAAGAAGTACATGGGGGTGTGGAGTCGAAAGTCAAGCCTGATTAATGCAATCATGCCCAGATTCCCCACCAATGAGGTGACACAGATCAGAAGGAACAGCACAAAGAGAATGACCTGCAGCTCCCAAATATCTGTGATTCCCAAGAGAATGAACTCATCGACAGTTGTCTTGTTTCTTCCGACCATTCCCTTAATGAACCTGAATTTTCAAGAGGGAGAAAAATCAAAGACGACAAATAAGTTACAACTCTGGATAGAAGAGTAAGTCCTAACGATGCTGGGAACGTTGGGCAGGAAAGTAGTAGAAGAAAATTGGATGCTGCTTTATTTTACTGGAAACCTAGCTGTCTGTTAGTATGCAAGAACTGGGTGCTTAACTCGATTCTCTTGAGAAGCTGTTTATTATCCCTTTAGCACTTCTGTAATGGCACTCTCAAAGAGGGATTACTTTTGTTCCGTGGCTGAGATTGTTCCAGGAAAGAGAAGAACCTTGCTATTCATTCTGATCTTTTTTTAATATTTCCTGCTTAGTTCTATTGTTAAATTTTCTCAAATGCTTATCCGTGTCCATGGTGCCTAAGAAGAATAACGGGATGATTCTGGTTATCTGGTCTGTTGTTCTTAAATAGTGGAGTAATAAATTGCTCTCAGCTTCTAAGGATGACATTTAAGTTGGACAGTGCAGTTCTGAGGAGAAATCCTCAATAGGAAGATACCCCCAAATTAAAAAAAAAAAAAATCGATGTAGAAAAGCAGTTTGTTAAAAAGCAGATAAGTTCATTAAAACTTACTTGCTGATTCCAAACATAACAATTCAAAGAAGAAAACAGGGCCAGTGTAGTCATGGACCTTGCTCTGCGTCCCTGAACCAGCTCATGCTAATGGCAGGAGGAAAGTCTGTATGTCTGTCCTGACAAAATCACACTTGTTTTGGCCAACGTTAAGAAAGGAGTTGCAAATAAATTGAAAGAAACATAGGAGCTGACACTGAAGACGGAATCCATCTTGCCTGACGTTACCCCCTTCCTAGGTGGACAGCTACATTTGAGGCAGCCATTCAAGGCTTCATTTGCAGTCACAGAAAAGAAGCAGGTAATTTAAGGCAAAATTCCTGTAAGCTACTTAAAATGCCTGCTTACTTTGGGGTGATATGATTTGCCTCTTAGAGGTGCCGGTTTCTCACCACTGCTTATAAAGAGCACACAATGATTAAATAAACTGTAGAAGCCTATCTCTGTAGGGGATAATATTGAGTCAGACAAATGGGACCATCAGTCTTTACAGGCATGTTAAATAACAGCACGTCTGTGGGTGAAACAAAGGAAAGAACACTATAACCTCATAATTACCTTTTTTTACTTCTCTTAAAACGTTGACTTCAAGAACAATGCCTCTCTTGTTTTCAGGTTGTGGTCTTGTTTGGACATTTCTGTTTAGGGTTCTGTAGAAAATGAGAACTGTTAATTGCAGGTGTATTAAGTGAATGCTTCAGCTTGCGAGGTGGAGCTTACTGAAACAACTGAATGATTGAAATATCTTTTAAGCTGTTGCTATTTGCATTGTATTGAGAGTAAATAACTTTCAGACAGTTACAGTAGTCCAGCTGATTAGCAGCAACTTGCAGAGCCCAACAGCTTGATTGCTAATAACTTTCTGTGCTATAGGGAACTCTAGACAAGACACGTGGACTGTTTGTAGCGACCAACGCCATGGTCTGTATGACAAGCTGCTGCTGTTTAAATGATTCTTCTTTTGCTGTAACCCCACATTTCAGTGCTCATTAAGCCCGTGTTAGAACTCCTGTGGATTTTGGTGGTTTGAGATTAAGACTCAAACACATGTTTAAGACTTAAACCAACCCTGCATCTGCTGTAACCACAGATTTGTCATCCAGCTCAGGTCAAAACAATTCTCCTCTCTATGACTGCATTATTTTTTTTGTAGACTTTATTTTCAGCATTCCTTATATGAAAATTCATTAATTATTCTTTTTACTGTTGTGTATATAAGTTTAGACTGCAATTATGTGCTTTCCCTGTGCAAGATTTAAAGTATAGAGTAAGGATAGAGAATAAAACAGTGACACAATTAAGACTGCCAGATTTAATAATATTTCAGGCTATGGGTATGTTTCCTACCTTGGAAATTAATGTTAAAAATGATGCTTTCTTTTCCTCAGGAACAAATGCTGCTGGAAAGCTGGACATGCAATGGCACTTAGAGAAGCTCTGGCTACAGGATCAAGTAAGTTGTTGGCACGTTCTGCCCCTCCCCGGCTGGCAGTGGCTACGGGCGAGACGGTACGCGCAGTCAGCGGGGGAACGGCAAGGTCTTCACAATCAGCTTCCCTTAAGGGCTGTACGTGGCCTAGAGGGACCCCATTGAGTGATGCAATGGTTGCAGGCTGCTGAGGTCTTTGGTTCGTGAACACAGAGCTCATTAGGACAAAAAAACAAAACAAAACCACCCTCCAGAACATAAGCAGAGCATTTGTATTCTTCTCTAGGTAATGTTATCATTTATTTTGATAATAAATTGGAGCTTTCTTTTTGTGTTGTTTTTGATAGATGACATTTTTCTCTCTGGCCACAGATCCGCTAAGTCATGGGGTCATACGGAGCAAGAGGCAGCAGAGGATTGCTGGCCTCATGAAACTGTCAGCCTATATAAGAGAACTAGAAGGAGCTGACTCGATGGGAGGGTAACCGTGATTTCAAGTTTTTCCTGGCCCTCGTGAAACAATACCAACACGTGCAGGCTGAATTCCAGTCCGCATTCTCCTTATTCAACCTAAGGATAGTTTACAACGCTGGCAGTCTTCCTTATTGGACCATTAAGATGTATTTTTACTGATTTGCAGTCTGTAGTCATCTGAGATAGTTGATTAATACTGGACACACAACCGGTCCCTGAAAGCACAACTGGATCAGAAGAGAGATACGCAGTCCTCTCCTGAACTCAGATAAGCCATGTCCACAGCAGCCTATATACAGATGTTTGTGCTCTGGGCTTTTTCTAGGATTTGAGTGATTATTTCTCTACACGGACCACAGGAGTAGCCTAGAAGTTAGGCTTAGACAAGTAACTTTTAATTAAGTTGTGATGAACCCCATACCAAGCATATCAAATGAAAGAGCAGAGAAATGAATAACAATCCAAACACAGCAATTTTCCCATTTTCTTCTGGAGGGCCTTTCCCACATCACTCCTTGCCCAGACCAGAGCATCCATTACATCCCTGTCATGTGTCATGGTTTAGCCCCTGCCCAGAGCTCCAGAAGGTCCAAATGCATCCATCAGAAGCTACTGGAAGCCTCTCTGGAGCTTTCCCATCTCTTCATAGACAGTTTGTTGAAATGGGAGAAATAAAAATCAGTTCTGCTGCGGTGTTTTGCTTCCCTCCCACGTGATTGCCTTCGTCAATATCTAGGGTCTTGCCTCAGGGGTGTCATCTGTGAACTCGTACCCCGGAGCTTCAAGCTGTGTTCTGCCTAAGCGCTGAGGGACAGGGTATAGGGATAGGACGGGTAGGATCCATTTTGTATAATTTCAGCAGCATAAAATTGAGCTACGCAAGCCTAACCTAGCTGTCTGGGCTTATTTTATAGTCGGCATAGGGAGGGAGAGACCTGCAGAAAGCAATATGTGCCATTTTCCTTAGAAACTTATTTTACGATGGGATGAGTTGCTCTTTGGAACCGAAGATGATGCACTCAGACCAACCTTTAGACAGCCAAATACAGGTGAGATTCATTGCAACCAGAGCGCCTGGAAACACCGCTGGGAACTGAAGTCCTCCTTTCTGAACCCCCAGGCTCTACTGTAACCACCTATATCCTATCCTATCCCGACCGAGTCAGCTTAGATTATTACTTTTTCAGGAACAGAGACATTTCTGGTTTGTCTGTGCCTTTGTCCACATGGATAATTCTGTAAACATCAATGCTAACTGACCTGTGTTAGCAGTTATTTTATTAGATGTCATTTTGTAATCCTTCTATTTCCTGTAACTGTAAAGGTGAGCAAGATATATCTGCCCTGCCTAGAATTTTTACTGGCATCAGCAGAAACATGTCTTAACTTTTGCAAAGTTAAGTTTAATGATGCACTTTTTCTGGAAAGGTAAAATTAATACCCAGAATTAATTTTCTAGGGGACTGAGATTGCTTGGAAAATCTAAAAATATTTGTGTTTGAACAGTTAAAAAAAAAAAAAATCATGGCTTTCTTTTGATCAATTGCTTAACAAATAATCAGCCTCAGGAAAATAAACCCGCAAAATACTTTGTAAGAAATCCCAGAATGAGATGCAACATTTAATTTCATTTTAAACTCAACTATTTGTGTTTGTTCCAAACTACTTAGTCTTTTTGTCTAAAAAAAAAAAAAAAAAAAAATCTGCTTATGTTCCAGCATTTCAATCCACTTTTTCCAGCGTTCAGTTTCACTGCTGACTCAGAAAGGTCATTATTAACCTGGCCTGAACTCCTTACTCTACAGTTCACACAGGTAAATGGGCAGCAGCTATTCAAGTCAATTAATGTTTCTCCTCAAGTGATATATCATACCAGATTTCTTCTATACCTGTACTGTGGTCTAGCTCTTAAATAACACCCCATCTGAGGTCCTATTTCATATACATATGAATGGAACATACAGGAAGGAATTCCACATATAAAGTGTTTGTAAAGCTCTCTTTGAGTGTCCTCCTAAGCTTTCCTTTCAACGGGCATCATCTAAACCACTGGTTTCCCGCCTTATATTGGGCAAGATGCTTACATTTCCACTACCTCTATCTTGCGAAGGTTGTAATGTGTTTCTGCATTGCTTACCTGCTGGGATTGACTGATTCCCCTGACAAATTTTATGTGTACGAAGCCAAACACAACGTAATGAAATGCCTGAAGAAAACCGCACCACGCTGAGTTCATTCTCTTGGGTTTCACCAGCCGTGCGGAGGTGGAGATATCTTTCTTTGGGCTCTTCCTACTCATCTATGCCACCGTTTTGGTGGGGAACACTGGCCTCATTGTGCTCATCCAGCTCAATGCCTGCCTTCATACCCCCATGTACTATTTCCGAAGCAATTTATCTCTCAGACCTGAGCTGTTCATCTGCTGTTGCTTCCAAGATGCTGGAGAATCTGTTAGCACAGCAGAAGACCATTTCTTTAATTGGCTGTGCAAC